GGCTTGCAGCCGGATTCTCCTGGCAGGACCCCTCGGCAGCCGCCCGTGACTCGCGGTGCTGGGCTGCACTGTCGCACGCCTCTGGGCTTTTCGAACCCGCCACGTCCTGGCGCACGTTGAAACCACGAATGACTCCCAGCCCTCCTCCTGTTTCTTCCCTGGCCTCCCTAATCCCATCGCAGAGGGAAACCTTTCAGCCCCCAGGCAGGGCTTCAGATTACCCCATTTCGGATAGTTTGTAACTTAAAATTGGAAGCCCAGAGGGTAAACATCTAGCTTTGGGGGAGGGGGGATTCGGCACGCTTGGGAGGTGTCTCGTTGGAGTAACGGGGCAGTCTCCTTACCACGGGAGCCTGTCTCTTCTCTCGCGCGGGAACGGGGCACGCGGCTGTGGACGGAGCCATCTCGCCTGGCTGGAGAGGAACCCTGTGTTCTTTTCTTCTCTTGCAGGGAGCGCTACCTGGGCACCTTGCTGCAGGTAGAAATGATGCTGAAAGTTTGGTTCCCTCACGTTGCCTTGAAGAGCTCCGGTCCTGATTCCAGTCCGGCAGAGCACGCACGCAAGCTGGCGAAGGTAAGGGGCGCTCGTTGCTGAGTAACCTGACTGTCCGATCTCTTCCGTCTCCATCTGGATCTAAGGCCCACGGGTGAGGCTCCTTTAGGCCCGGCCTTATCTGGGCTGTTTCAGCCCAGCGGGATGGGGACAGAGCTGGGCCTGTGGCAGGCAGGGTGCTGGCTTGGAGAGAAGGATCTTTTATAGCGTGTGCCACGCTGGAGACGTGGGTGACGTGGATGCCAAGAGGCCTGTGTGGTCTCCCCACGGAGACGCTGGCCTCACCCTGCACGTGTTGCATCCGTAGGCCTTGCAGGGAGCCCCGGTTGTCATGGCTACCTCAAAGTCCGTGCCAGCCCAGCCTGACGTGCCCTGTTCTCTCCCTTCTGTAGCAGTCCCACCCCACGCCTTCAGCAGGGGACAGCCACAGAGGCCAGGCCACGCTGCCCCGCGAAGACTCGGCCCAAAGCCCCGCCCCAGAAAAGCTGCACCTCATGGACCCGGCCGCAGACGACAGCAAAGCCAGCGCAGCGTGGAGGGAGCAGGCGCGTTTTCTGGCCGACTGGTCTTCCATGAACTTGACTTGGATGCACACCTCACCCATCTGCAACCCGCCCTTGGGGCTGGCGAACCTCGGGCACTTGAACGCCGCCTTCGGCCAGGCCCTGCTCGGACCAAACGCCTGTGGAGTCATTCTGTTCCTCCACAACAACCTGCTGGGCCCCGCGCCCGTCTTCCGTTCCACCTCTGTCACTCCCGACAAGAGCTCGCCTGCCTACTGCCACCCCAAGCAACCGCCGGGGATGGGAGACGCGCCAAGATGCCAGAGCCTGCCCGGAGCCATGGCAACAGGGAGCTACGCGCTTAGCCAGCAGTCGGGCAGCCACTCCAGATCTCTGCCTCACTTGCCCGCCGCCAGCAAGGAATCCGAGCAAGCAGCTATGTGGACTGGGAGTCGGGAGTCGGAACCGCTGGCTAGGAACGGGCCCCGGTATTCCTCTTGATGCTGCGTTCCAGGCACTTCCCAAAATGTGTGAATTTTTTTATTATTATTTCTGCCTTTTTTTTGTTTTTTTTTTTAAATAAAACATTTCACGCCTGTGTAAAAAACCCTGATCAACTTCCAAAAGGAAGAAATGTAATGTGATTAAAAGGTTTAAACCAAAGCTGTTTCCAGACAAGTGGCATCTTTGATGATAAATGCCTCTGTGGTGGAAATTTCTTGTCTGCTCACCCCGCTGTTCCTATCCTTGTGCGTCCAGCTGCACTAGTGCTTTGTGCTTCTCCAAAGCTTTTCACATCGGTGCGAACTCCATTAACTGAGGGTTGCAGCCTTCCCTGGGAGGCTGATAAATTATTGTTCATATTTCGGGCATAGAACTAAGCCCAGAACTCCTGGGTTCTAATTTCAGTTCTCACACAGATGGTAGTGGGACAAGTTGGCTATCTTTGTGACTCGGTTTCTCCATCTGTAGTACAGATGGTATACAACACTGTTAACATAGCTAGTAGATCCTGTCAACTAATGTTCCCTCTAATATTTTCTCATCCAGTTGTGGAATAAATTTTGTTGGGTGCACTGAGGGATGGTGGATGTGCACCACCACTACAAACACATGCTGCCGGCTGTGTGCTCTCTGCTAATCAGCTGGCTGGTGTTTGACTTTCTCCTTCATGGCTGCCCAAGTGCACAGGAAACCCAGCTGCTGACTGCAGAGTGATTGAGGCCTGTCCTGTAGCCTAGAGCATCTCTGCCACCAATCCACATCTAGCTAAGTTGAGGTTCTCAAACTGGGTCAGGACCCCAATGTGGATCAGGAACCCATTTTAATGGGGTCACCAGGGCTGGCATTAGACTTGTGGAGGGCTAGAGCCAAAGGGCTCCTGGATGGGGAGCTATGGTTACATGCTCCCTGCCCAGAGCAGAAACCCTTGGGCAGCTTTGGTTCTTTCTGCCCAGGCTTCTGGTTGAGCTTGGGCGTCGGTGTTCCTGTCCCGCTCTGGGGGCGTGTGCCGTGATTGTTGTTGTCAGAAGGAGGTCACGGTTTGAGAACTGCTGACCTAGATGATCCAGAAGCTGGCCCAGCTCTGGAAGGCTTTGGGGAGAGACCATGCAAATGACTAAAGGCAAAGCTTGCCTAGGTACATTATTAAGGCCAACTCCTGGGAGAAAGGGCTGCTCTTGCGTAAGACCGGAGCGGCTGTGCGTCATTGGACCGTGGTCCCTGGCATGACACACCCTCCTGTCTAAGCCAGTCACATTCTAGTCACATGGATGGTTGCCCAGAGCGTTTGCCTTGAGACCTTACGTTGGGCGGGTGCCTCTTGTTCTGACGCGTCCCATGACGGCAGGCAAACTCAGGAAGGCTCTCGGCACCTGCTGCTAGAATGCACCTAGCTCTGGAGTGGAACGTGCGGTTGCTCTTAGCAAGTAGCCGCGCTGCTACGCCTCTTCCAGGGCAGAGGTGGGCGAACTGTGAAGGGCCAAGATGGGATTTTGGCTTGGATGCCCGAACGCTTGCAATAATTGGCATGGGACCTTGTAGTGAGCCGGGGAGGGGAGGGCCGCTCACTGACCCCGCGGGGGAAGAACCTCTCTCCGAGCCCTGGTGAGCCGAGCCGGCTCCTGCCCCTTTAATTCCACAGAGGCCCGGGGTGGGTCAGGGAGCATAAAAGCCCATCCCGGGAGCTCAGTAGGGCCCAGCCACCAAAGGAAGCAGAGGCCTGCCTTGAGCTCCCAAGCCAGCAGGGCCCTGAGGACCTGGCAGAGGTCAAGGACTGGCCTGGACAGCCGGGCCCATGCTCCAGAGAGGAGACTTTCTTTACCTTACCCCAGGGTGCAGACTACCAGGACCCCGAGACCCAACAGTCGAACTAGAGCCAGGTAGGTGCCGAGGGGGAGTTAGGAAGTGGCCCTGGGGAAGCCGACGACTGTCAGGCTGACCTCATAACACTTTAAAGTAAGTCGGCGTCGGATCCCCGCTGATCCCAGTGAGGGTCAGGCAGCCACCGCTAGGGCCCTGGGCTGGGAGGCAGCAGAGTTGGGAGGGCCCACGTCCCCCCTTGCTATCTCATATATTGGGTGGCAGTCTCCCCCTCCCTGCTCATGCTTGGGGGACTGTTTGGCTTCCTCGCCCTGCACCAGGGCCTGGACTGCACTAATGCTGGAACTGTGTTTGCATTATGGTCTGCCCTGCCCTCAGGCCCCGGGGGGGTTGAAAATCGCCGCTGGACTGTTACTCATAGGCCTGAGCACAGGTCAGGGGCCCAGGACTTGAAAATCACCACTGGACTGTTACTCATAGGCCTAAGCACAGGTCAGGGGCCCAGGACTAAGCCAGCTGGCTTACACGGATGGCATGGGGTCAGGATTTTGTCACCCAGGAAACTAACTCCAAGCTGCTGGGCCCATGGTGGAGTTGGTGTGAGAGCACCGTGCATCTGTGTGTGTGTGCGCGCGCCTGATGCGAGGAGCTGTACACACATGGGACAAAAAGACCACCCTGTCCCAAGGGACTTACAATGTTAATATGTAACTAAATCGCAAATGGGCACCTTGGATTTTCCATGCCTCCCCCTCCAGTACTAACCCAGCCTAAGCCATGTAATCGAATCGGAGCCCAGCAAAAGATGATGGAGTTGCCATGTAGGGGGAAAGAACGACATTTGCCGTGATGTTGAAATCCTAAACCATTCAGCCTGAATAAAAGAAAGAGGTTCAATTACTTGCTAATTAATGGTCTTGATTACTTGAGTCCTGGGCTGCAGAAGCCTCCTGTTGTCAAGGCAGAAAGCGGCCTTGTGTTTCCAAAAGCATCTGTGCTTGCTACCAGGGCCGACTTCAGGAATTAGGGGGCCCTAGGCAGTACTTGGCTGCCCCTGTGCCCGATGGCAGCCGGCTGGGGGGGAGGGGTGATTTTTATCATCTTCAGCAACACACTAATTAAATAGTTTTAAAGCAAATTTTAAATGAAGAACCTGCCGACGAACACAGTCAATTCAGAAACTGACAGTTTCTACTTTGGGCTGGCAAATGGATTTGTTGCCACTTGAATGGCTCTTTCACAGGTTCTGCTAATAGCTCTGGCAGGGTTTTTCACTTTTAAATGAACAAGAACCTCTCCGGAGCAAGCAGAGCCACAGAACAGGGACAGGAAGACACAGGAGGGTGAACATTAAAACCCAGCAGTGCCCCAAATGTTCAGGTGCCCTACGCTGCTGTGTAAGGATAAGGACAGCTCTCTCTGCTACCCCAAAACACCTGTCCACAAGGGAGAGGCTGTATGTTTCCAATGCCAGGTGCCCCAGAGGACGTGAATAGAAACAGGGAATCATTAAGGGTGCACCTACACAGCAGGGCTAAACTCAAAACAAGCTATGCAACTTGAGCTATGCTAATTGCGTTGCCTAAGTCAAAGTAGCTTATTTCGAATGTGGATGCCTCTATACAGCACGTATTTCAACTCCCCTTACTCTTCGTCCAGTGAGGGTTACAGGAGGCAGAGTAAGAAGTCCTCTGACTAGACATAATTTCAACATTTTGAAATAGCTGCTTGTGTGTAGACCGCACACTTTGTTATTTTGAAATAACGGTGGCGTGTGGACGTACCCTAAGTGGTCCCTCTCCTGCCATCGGACATAATTCAACATTCTGAAATAACTGCTTGTGTGTAGACCGCACACTTTGTTATTTTGAAATAACGGTGGCGTGTGGACGTACCCTAAGTGGTCCCTCTCCTGCCATCTGTTTCCAGCCCCTGACAAAAAGAGGCTAGGGACACCATTCCTACAGTGCCTACTTGGTTATTGCTTTTTTAAAGATGGTTAAAGATGAAACCTTTTGAAGTTGGCTTTAATATACAGGCAGTCCCCGGGTTAGTACAAGATAGGGACTGTAGGTTTGTTCTTAAGTTGAATTTGTATGTAAGTCGGAACTGGTACATATTGTAGGGGAAACTCTAGCCAAACATTTCTCCAGAGCTCAGTTTTATTCTCCCACACCTCACTTCCCTCAGTCCTTTATTCTCAAGCTGAGGTGTCTGCTGAGAAAAGCCGCTCAATGGCAAGTGCTGATTGGTTAGCTGCCGTGTGATGCATGTTGATTAGAATTAGGGCTTGAAAATCTAAACTAGGCTTTGTCCAAATGCCCCCTTGATAGCTTTCTGGTATAAACTGTCCCGCAAAAAACGATTGGAGTGGATTGGAACTCAGTAGACACTAGTCAGAGATTTTATGAAAAGCATGCTTCAATTTGCATTGCAGGGAATATTTTAAGAGGTTCAGGCTATGTCTACACTGCACGCTTCTTCCGGAAAAAGCTACACAAATTGCGAACCGTAATTTGCATAGCTTTTTCCGCTTCTTTCTTCGGAAGAGGCTTTTCCGACATTTGGCCCGTTTACACTGGGCCAAATATCAGGAAAAAACCCGTTTTTTGGAACATCCTTTCTTCCTCGTAAAACAAGGTTTACAGGGATGCCGAAAAAGCGCGTCCAGAAAATTTTTTTGGAAGAGCAGACGCATTCCCTGGATGCGGCAGAGTATCCCAGAAAAACTCTGCAGTGTAGACATACCTCAGTGAGTGATGCATGTGTATGGGCCCTGGAAGGGAAAGCTGATGGCAGAAGGAACAGGAAGCAGGAAAAGATGTTGGGTGAACGATGTGGTACGTTGGGTGGATCAAAAGACCCATTCATCCACCATGGGATACCAGTGGATCCTACCGAAAGGGCTCCCATGCTTGCAAACCTCCAGAAATGGAGAAGCCACATAAGAAAGTGAACTGTTGGTGTAAAGCAGGAAAAAGCTACATAAAGTTATTCTCCCGACTAACAAGTCGGAAAGGCTTCATTCAAACCCCAACCCAGGTTTTCTAAAACCAGCACAAAAATGCTTGTGGATGATGGAAACTTCCATTCCTGCAACAAAGCTGTTTTCGGTTTTTGGTGGTGAGTGTGGGGTTTTTGGTTTTTTTTGTACCTTGTGGCTACTCTGGCACCATCCCACCCCATAGAACCTGGGACCTGTTGTGCAAGGTGCTGTACATTTCAGTGTTCTTAGGGGAGTGGGGGTGACAGGAACATCAAGATTTGGAAGAGCAGACGCATTCCCTGGATGCGGCAGAGTATCCCAGAAAAACTCTGCAGTGTAGACATACCTCAGTGAG